AAATATTGAATTTTACTGTTGCAATTCGACCTATTTTTCTAATGATAAGAAATAAGCTTAATGAATGGTCTATTACTTTCAACATCGTCCCTAAATAGTCGTTATAGAATAGTTTACCTAAGAAATGATCTGACAGACTGCTAGGTGAAAAGCATACAGTAAAAGGAATCCTTATTATTAGAAACTTAAAAATTGGATTTCCAAACATTTTTATGCCGGAAGTGTTTTCGACACGATCTCGAAAATAGATCTCCGAAGCTTCAGAAATTCTTAACGAATTTCATATAGTAACATTTCCGGAAACGTTATAAGGATTTCCGAGGGTGTCGAAAACCCTTTTTTTGTGTTTCCCACAATTCGGATTTTTTTCAAAATGTTTAAATAAAAAACCACAGTAAACTAAACTATAAAAACTAACATAATCTAACTGTACATCTGTTAAATATGTTCGAAGATTTCGCTTTTAATATCTTCAAAAATTTTATCAACTTTCATATGACAATTGATCTGAAAAAAGAAATAAACTATGAAAAATATTAGTAGATTCGAAAAATGAAGTATATTTAGATTTACTTTCTTTTACTATTGCTTTAGAAAATTTTCGTTCGTCCACGTTTACCAATAATAAGAAAATCATTGATTTGTAAACGACTTTCATTGAACATTATTTTGTTAAATTTGATAAACTTTTTTCAAAAGAAAACATTTTTACTATTATTATAAAAAAAATAAAAATTTACATAAAATAAATTGTACTATGATAAAAAATTGAAATATCTTCGCTCGAATGGACTGATTTGTTTTTTTTTTTTTATTAATGGTAGAAGCTTATATGAAGGTTCTTTTTTTTCATATGAATACAGTAAATAAATATAATTGTCAAGATATATTATTGATCTCACTAAACAAACTTCATCTATCATTAAGTAAGAAAAATGTATATGAAAGGTTTCATAAATATTTTTCAGTTGTCATCGAAGAGAATAAGAAGTCAAAATAATCTTTATAAATAATACTATTTTGAAGCATACCGAATAAATTTTCAAAACTAATCTGTTTAAATGGTGAAGTTCGTACTCCATAAGAAAAAAAAAACGAATAAATACAATCCTTAAGACACGAAAACACTAACTTTCTTCCAAAGACTCATATTCCATGTTTGAAAATTATAATCGTTGCCTTTTTCGCAAACTATTATTCATTTCAAAAAAGGAAGAGTTGTGAATATTTCTTAAATAACTTTTGATAGGAACATGATAGAGAGCTGCAGTTTTCACCGTTACTAAGAGAAGGTTCAGATGCATACATACTTGCTGAACCAATCGGCTTAATTCTTGGTGAATATTTTAAATACAATACTCTGGATCCTGTTTTTCAATTGAGCTTGATTGTTAATATGATCGATAGATGTAAAAAATTAGTTCTCTTTCGATCTAGATAAGGCCGACATTCCTAGCTGGTTCCATTCAAAAGTTATAAGCCTTTTCTTAGGAATCACTGATTTCAGCCAATTCGCCTATATTCACCTACAAAATCGTCTAGGCAGTAGTAATTCACTATGCTGAGTTGAGTAGTGATACTCGGTTTTGGATTCGAAATGATTTAATACTGTTATTTCATAACGTGATTGATCCACTGCTGGTCAATCGAATTTCAGTCAGTATTTATACATCTGAATTTTCTCTTTATAATGTTGAAAATTGCAGCTCTCTATCTTGTTCCTATCAAAAGTTATTCAAAAGCTATTCACGGCTCTTCTTTTTTTTAAATGGATAATCGTTCTGAAGCTCCATATGTATCAATATAGTATCATTGATAAAGTTCATTTTGATTTCTTCTTATTCTTCTCCTTGATGAAAATCAAAAATAACCTATGAAACACTACGAATCTATTTTTATTACTTGATAACAGGTAGACTTGGTTTCACGATATCAACAATAATAATAAATAGAAGTATTTGCTTACCTCATCCATATGAAAAAACACTTTAAATAAATTTTGTATCAATGATCAAAATTTCAGGTCATTTGATTGCACTGATGTGGAGAGATTTCTAGAGTTATTTATTGCTTATCCTGGATAATAGGTAAATATGCAAGAGTTTGTTTTACTATAATTGATCGTTGATAAAATTAATTTGTAAATTGAATGATGAAATTAAACTTGATATTGATAGTAACGAAGATGTTTTGCATTATTTGCTACATATGTAGGAATTCATATAATTAACAACATATTGATGGTTGTCGTCTCATGATCAGTCTAAAATAAATATTCTATGAAATAACTCAATAAAATTCTTAAGTAATGAATGATCGAAAAGTTTTTTGACAAAATGTTTGTTCACTTTTAACTCGCTAGAAAATATTTTCAATGGTAAGCTAACGGATTTTTGTTTATCCTATAAGTCGCTTTTCAAACATGTGAAAAATTGTCGAAGTCGATCATTTTCTAGAGCGAACACTTCTTTACGAAGTTTGATATTGAATTAACCTGTAGGCTTTACCCAAGTGAGGCTTCGTGCAATGAGTATTTACGAAAATTGAGGCGTGCATTTTGTAGGGTAACTTCTCATCTACAACTTTTAGTTTCAAATCGTAATGGTGAAAAACAAAAAAAATTTTCATCAAAACTAATCTGTTTTTTGGACTTTTCAAAGATTATTTCACTACTCGCGAATAAAAATTGAAATAAGATTTCTAATGTGGAAACTATCTCAAGTGACACCCACACCCTTTAGCTCATATTGAACTCACAGGTAGGTCTTAATGAGAATAGCAACAGCCTAAAAGGGTTCGTCCTCATAAATCTTTATTGCCAAGTTATGATCGGTTTTTTGACCCATGTTTATATACCCGTTGGAAAACTGAATAACGAAGTCTGAATCCAAAATTTTGTCTATAGATAGGTCTAATAGCTCTTAGAATGTTCATTCGTCAAGATATTGAATCACTTAAAAATTCAATAAATCAACGAAGGAACATTCCTATAGGCAAAGTTTTCGATCAAAACTTCGTTATTCGATCTTCCGATGTGTATCTAAAAATGGATCAAAAATCCAGTAAGTCGGTCATAACTCTATACCAAAGGCTCATGGAAACGAATCCTTTCAGGCTTTTGCTAGCCTCACTGAGACCTGCCTGTTGGTCTAATATTAGTTCAAACGGTAGGCATCATTTGAGACAGTTCCCTTGTAAGTACATATTCGAATCACATGAAAGACAATTACATGTTTCACATCCTCATCTATCAAGTTGACTATTACACGGACAAGAAAAAGTGCAAAGCACTAGAACACAATACTTTTGAAATTTGAATGTGAAATAGTACGATGTTGTAGTTGACTTGACCGAAATCAAAAGAGTAGTACAAAGAACAGCAATGATTTGATTACTTTTATCGCTGAAGTCTTCACATCATTATATTCGATTGAAATTGATATTACATCAGTATACTTTTATCTTTAAAATTGAACTTTAGTCTTATAAAATTTGATTGTTAAAATTAAATTGATTACAAAAAAAAAATAATACGCTGAAAGTAGGATTCGAACCTACGCGAGGAGACCTCATCTGTTTACTAGTGTTTTAGTTTTTAATTTAAAACTTTTCTAGACAGACGCCGTAACCACTTGGCTATTTCAGCAATTATTCATTTTTTTATATTGATTAAAAAAATGTGTGAATATTGTATTTGATTGTAGAAATTGATTTACTAATATCAAATTTTATTCCGGTAGAAATTTTGACTTAGCAACCGATTTAATAAAGGATGAAGAATTTGATTGATTGAAAAAAAAAATGTTGACGTCATGCTCTTCATTTTAATGCCTTTCAGCATTAACATGCACCTTATTTTATGTTTTGTTTTTAGAAATAGCAGAAGTAATTTATTCATAAATTTTTTTGTTTAACCTTCTCTTGTTTCAACACAAAGTTCGTTAAAAAAAATGAAGAGAAGAATCAATCTTAAAAGAATTTCTACCTTCGAAATTAATGATATATTTATTCTTGTAAATTTATTAGTGATATTATTCAAGGAAAAAACCTAACATTTTAGTGATTAAGAAAAGTCTGATGATTATGCAGTTAGAACATATCGAATTATGGGTATATATTAATTTAATTTTCTTTTTATAAACTATTTAATAGAATAACTGATTAAAATCTTAAAGTAGACAAGATGATAAGGTAAATTCTGACATATAATGAACATTTTGCAAATGAATTTAAAAACGTGTAAAAATTAAATTTAATACTGCTTTAGTTTTCTCCTATTATTCATACATTTCATCTTATAAAAAAAATTATATATAGGGATAACATACCTGAAGATTTATTCCCATTAATAATAAGGTACAGGCTTCGAATAATAATCGAATTTTTTTTTTCTTAAACTGTCTTCATATAATACAATAATATGAAAATAGAATACCTTCATTTGTTTATTGTTGTTTGCAATATTATGGCACAACAATGATGAAAAATAATTAGCATAATTCATTTGAAGATATAGATTTATCTCATATGACTGTATCACAAAAGATAAAATTGAATACTATCAAGTTGAAACTCACGATCGAATTAAAAACAAATTTCGACATCTATGTCCATGATTTTACAGTAAGATTAATTGAAATCTTTGTATTTGTTTTAGGAATTTTTCGAAAAATTTGATTATAAAATTTTTTTTTTTTTCGTGTCAATAGAAACGATCAACCATTTTCAATGTATGATGTCGAGCAACGTCCTCTATCCATACTTCTAATCTTTTCTAATGCATTCATTCCACACATCAATACATATATCCAAATTGTGTTACATTCAACGTCCATACCTGTCAATACAATCATTTGCACTCGCTGATGAGTCGATGACTTCTACACGTGATAACTTATTATTAAATGCTTAGAACTACTTCAATACGAAATTATTTTTATTAAATAAATGTTTTTTTTTGTTTTTTTCTTAAAGATTTATATATTAGAAAAACAAGCAATATGAATAAATCAATACAACAAAGTAAAATAAAATGAAAGATTATTTATATTTTCTGATGTTTTTTTTTAGATTTATCGAAGGAAATCGAACTATCAACAAATTCAATTGTTGATCAAGATTTTGATTCGAATATGCATATTAATGAAAATTTATTATTAGAAGCACAAATAGAATCATCACATCCTAATTCAAAAAGTGATAGGTAAATTCAAATTATTATTTAAAAATTTTTCTAATTAGAAAAATGACACAAAAAAATTCTAGTTCATCACCAAAAACTCCTAAAAGTCCAATTCAAACTACAACTTGGTTATCTTCTTGGTCATCACGTATTGAAGCTGAACCACCAAAGTAAAATATTTTTTGTTAATAATTCTTTCATATAATTTTTTTTTTCTTTTTAAGAGAATGGAGATGTCTTCATCCAATAAATGAAAATATATATGATGAAGATGAAGAAAAAAAATTAATTAAAAAAAAACATATGCGTTATCTTATATTAAGTAATTGTGCAAGTTTCATACTTGGCATGGGCATGTATGTAATATAATAAATCTTAATTTTTAAATTTATTTTTGTTTTTTAGTATGTATTTATGTGTACGTCGTTATCTTCGTATGAAAACGCCTTACTTCTATTCATTAGATTGAACTGTACATTTCTTATTTCAATTTCTTTGTTCTTTTTTTGTTACACGAATACATTCTGTTATATTTGTTGTTTTAATCAATAAGTTTGCATTCGATGTAAAATATTTAATAATTAATGTATTTAATTAGGATTAGTTAACTAATTCATTTGTATAGAAATATTTTCTTTTTATTAATCATTTAAAAACAAATATGCATGACATATTTATATTTAATATTGAGAATATAAATAAATATATTATATTATTTGAAATTTATCGTCTATTATTCGCTTGATCAAAACATTTTATTTTAATCTGCACGTGATGCTATATTTTATTGAACGAATATAGTTTCTTCCGTTTTTTTTGGATCAAACGTATTCATACTGTAGAACGTTTTATTTCGTCTATCAATATGAGGTTTTTGTTATGATGTCCCACAATTCATAGCTTCAATTAGTTCATTCCATAGATTATAATCTAACTGATTTAAATCAGACAGACTCAATGACTAATAGGTTTTTCGTGTATGAATGTGCAAAAATGACCTGTACACTATTTTCCACTAAGATAGCACGTGTGAACTTTACGAAAAAAGAATCCCGCTAACATCTAATTTGCAAAATTAGCCCACTCTTTTTGTGTAGATCATTTATGATTGACTCTTTGACCTTTTGTTATGGGAAATAGTCAAGATCTTTATGTGATAACAATGACACACGTTTTTGTTTCAATAGGAAGTGTTCTTGTTGACATCCGTTTGTTGAACAATAGATGTCTTTTCATCTTTCATATATTCACTTTTGTACAAACTATGCGAGAACAACCAGGAAGAGACGATGATGTGATAGAATCAATGCTATTGATCATTTTTATAAATAATTTAATTGTTAGTAATGAAATCATTCCAGCCGAATTTCAAACACTATTGTTTGATTAGAAAAGATGTTTTAATCATACATATACATATATGTAACATTATATTCGACCTTGACTTTATTTTGTATTACGTAAATAATCTTGTCTATCACGTAATATATATATATTTCATTTTTGTAATAAAACTTCACTTTGTTGTATTAATCTCAATACGTGACAAATACGGTGGCCCATAAATAAAAACATTCAATATCTTTAGCCGGCTTTTTTTCTTGATCATAGAGAACTCTTCAAAGTTTTTATACACAAGAAAACCGCCAATGAATACTGTTTTGAATTAATATCATTGACATAAAGTATCTCAGCCTTTCTGAAGGCTACACATCTGAAAGTTCTATTATATGTCCTAACTTGGAAACGTAAGCCAATGAGACCAGTCCGATCTCTATTGTCTGAGTTGAAGAAAAGTTATAATGCATAGTAACTCTTCTCCATGTGAGTGCTATAACTTAAAAGAAGGCGCTTATCATCTAGGCAACCTTTCATTATGAAAATATTTGCAGCTTTTGAATGCTGAAATGAAACTTGATAAAATTTATAGCCCAATTGAGTTGTCAAACTCACAGTGAGAATGATATTAAGAATGACTGAGAAAAAAAACCGGCCCGATTGAAGATACTGAATTTATTTATCGTCGAATTATTTATACTTACAGATACAAATTCTAAAAAACTAACAACTTGTTGTGTTTTTTTTATTGTCAAATTTTAATAGGACATTATGTTAGCGAATACAAACAAACAAAACAAATTAAACAAGTGTGTCGAGTTGATATAGCTTGATAATATTCATCTTGTCGTGATAAATTATATTTAAATCCTAATTTAAAATGAATATCTTGAATAAAATCTATTGATTTTAAAATGAATAAATAAGATTGATATTCTATATATAGCAAACAATCATCTATAGTTAAATATTCTTTTTCGAATAAATTATCAAGTAATACATTTATTCATTCCTTGGCAAGATACTTGAATACATTTTAATGGTTGATATTGACAAACTAAAATAATCAAAAATAAGAATAAAAAAGTGTTCGTTAAATAATTTTACTTGACATGTTAAGTTAAATATTGTTTGTCTATCGATTGAGTCAATCAATTAGTCGTTCTAATTTTTTTGTTGTTGATAATTTTGCTTCAATATATCAAGAATTTATATGATCCATTATTAAAAAAATGGATTATTGATTTGTTTGTTTAACAAAAGATTGACACCTTCTATATCGGAAGAGAAAGGAGTTGAACAAATAAATATCATTGACGGCATTTTTTTCATAAGAATGAAATTTATTGATAATTATCTAAAGTGAGATCGTATCGTTTTCTCATCAATTTATATTTATTTTAATATTTTTGTTCTATACGAGCGAATACAAAAATAGAAATCTAATCGACAATTATTTTTTTACAATCTTGACTGCTTATGTGCTTTTTATTTCTTTTCTCTTTGATGTGTATATCTGGAGGTGAATTTTCTCTCTACAGTGTGTTGGATCTATTCATTACTTCGTATTCTTTCTCTTTCTGTATTTGCTTTTGTTTTGTGAGAATACATTCGAATTTTCAGATGTAGATGAGACACATGGATTCTATAATGATGTGTAGCAAGCGAGTGATGCTCTTACTCGAGAAACTCCAGCTAAGATACGAAGGATGAATTATTTTGGCCAGTACGATACTATATAATTTCAAGGTGGGTTTTTTCCGAGCAATAATTATTTATATAGTGACGCTGATATGGCCAACACAAAAAAAAAAGAGAACGAGGCATATACTTCAATCTTACAATTTTTAACGTTTCTTTTCATTTACGAATGCGAGAAAAAGAACACACTCTGTCATAAATAAAAGGCTGAGAGCTCACATGTTATTGCTTTCTTTTTATTACTAATAATGGAGGTGTTTGAGTTTATAATGAAAAATACAGAACATATTCGTGCCAAATAAAAGCTCTCATCGCTAAACTAACAAGATTAAAATATTAGCGGCTCTTGGTTTGCCTGGAAGGAAATATTTAAATTTTAAGGTATGTGAAATTTAGGTATAAAAATGAATCAGAGAAGCTTTTCTCCACTATTATTAGAACAAAACATGGTATTGTTCGGACCATATGAAAGAGGGTCCCTATAAACCCCATAATCGGTTCAAACAACACTATGTTTTGTCCTTATAATAGTGGAGAAAAGCTTCTCTGATTCATTTTTATACCTAAATTTCACATACCTTAAAATTTAAATATCTCCTTCTAGGCAAACCAAGAGCCGCTAATATTTTAATCTTGGTAGTTTGGCGATGAGAGCTTTTATTTGGCCCGAATATGTCCTGTCTTTTTCATTATCAACACAAACACTTCCATTGTAAGTATTTTTATTGATTGTTGAAACCAATTTTTTCCTTCCGATATCTTGTCTTTATATTCTCTGTTGTAGATAAAATATGGCCACCTCGAATCGTCAGGTGATACGCATTCAACGAGAATTAACAGCACTCGAACAGAATCCATTAAATTTTATTCAAAATTTAGCATTATCGGTCAATGATGAAGGTCTTCAACAAATCACCGGTGTAATGTTAGGCCCAGAGAAGAGTCCATATACGGGTGGTTACTTTCGTTTTATAATAACGTTTCCCGCTGCATATCCATTAAAACCACCTACCTTTGCATTCGCCACGGCCATCTGTCACCCAAACGTTCATTCAGGCACTGGTCAAGCTTCAGATGATATACTTTTTACTATGTGGGCTCCCAGAATAACAGTCAGCCAGGTGCTTGAATCGATACATTCGCTATTATCTAATCCAAATTCTGATACACCTATTGAAGCAGAAATGATGCTGGACAAGAGTCCTGAAAAGGCTCGCGAGTGGACTCTAGCTTTTGCTCAAGGTCCATGATTGACAGAATTAAGATTTGCCTTTTATTTTATAGTCAAGATCAGTCATCCTCTTGCTGATTGTGTTCTTAATACTCTCGCTCTTTTTCAATTTGTTCATTGTTTTTTCTATCATTATATAAAATGTCGTATGCGACATATCGTCGTACAATTGTGTTCTCATTCTCATTGTGTGTCTATTTCAACAACAGAGAAGCTGAGTGGAGTGGAGAGAGCTCAGCTCTCACTAGACCAAAATCCTGGTTCTGCCACTGTAATAAGCATGACGGCTCTCGTAAGTAGACTGGGCACACTGACTGTGAAAAAAATAACATTTTTCTTGTGTAGATTAATTTAGATTACTGTTGGTCGATTTGACACGTTTCATATCTTCTGTAGGAAATACATGGAAACAGTCAGTTTTTGCCAGCGTTTCGCACCATTCTTATCAGAAGCATGAAATGCGTTAAATCGGCCAGCATCAACACGTTTTGCACATCCGAAAGTAAATGATGCGGAACACTGCGATCAATACATTGTTTCGCAACGTTTGTTTTAGTAACTGTAAAACACTTTTTTCTCAACAGTATTTCATGTATTTTTGTCTCGTGCTGCGAAACGCGTTTTGTTTCGTAATAAAAAATTAAAATAATTGAACCCGTCAAATGAAACTAATCATCAAGTTAGCATTGAACCTTTCCATTATCATACCACAACAATTGTTCAGAAGAGAATATAAAGTGTACGAAAATGAGGATTCGAACAAGTAAACAGAAACATTACAAAACACGCACATTAAATATGCTCAGTATTGCACAAAGAAAATGAAATAAAAATTGACTCTTCTTGATTATTTATTCAATTCGCATTTAGCGATAAAATTATATAACAGATCTAATCAAGTCTGTTCTGTGTGACAACTTCATTGGATGGATTTTTTTGTATCTTCAAAATACAAGTCGTACTCCGATCTAATCAATATCTAGATGGAATAGGTTTCTGTCCAATATGCCTAAATAATTAAGGTGGGGTGTGGATATGTATCATCAAAAGAGAACCATGGCAAGTTTCGATCTATCTCAAGGGTCTCATCAAGTAGTTTTCGCTCTGGCTTGTCTTAAAGGCTAAACTTGAAAGAAATTCTATCAAAGAAGAAATCTTCTAAGATCTAAACCATTAAGCTCGAAGCACGCAGAGGAGGTTTGAATGTGGGTTTATACCTTCTGGCTAGTAATATCTACATTCACCCAGACTGTCCGAATGAATGAGTGATGAAACAACCGAAAAATTCATTGATATCAGTGTTTTGTATGAATTTCATTGTTTTGAAATTATGAATAATGCTAAAATGAATTTTTATTATATTGAAAATCTATAATTGGTAATATTTTATTTAGAAAGTTTTCTGATTGATATGGAAGTGCATATTGTCTTCATTCAGGCACACCATCACATTTCATGATTATTCTCATAGTATGAGTTGTAAAACAGATCATCAAACTAGTAGTAAGAGAAAGTATTGCTTTAATTAGAGATTATTGAACATCGACGACGGCGAAAAGTAAATAACAGGTGGAACAAAAGTTCTGCATTAATTTTGTTTTTGATGTAGTGCTGTGATAGAATCGCGTAGAGATTTCATCTTTTTTTTTCTTAGAAAGAGTAAAGTGTCTAGTGCAAAAATATACAAATGAAGATCATTGAAAATGTTTGATAGAGACTACAGAAATTTTAGACCAGTAAGTATTGAAAAACGATTCCGTAACTTTGGTGAGAATATTTTAATCCGAAAATATTTGTTTGAACTTTTTCTTCATCATTATGCGGGGTTTTTGATAATCGTTTGTATATAGTTGTTTATTACAAAGAACGCTTCCATGTAGTATTAAAATAATTGGTCTAATCTACAAGAGAATAAACAGAAGAGTATATCATTAAAAAATTTTAATTTGCAGATTTATGATTTCCAATACGAAAACAAATGTTTGATTGAATATCACATAGAAAATCTGTGTCCTATTTCGAATAATATCGTGCGATAGAGAACTCATCAAGCTTTGATTTTCATATGAAATATATAATTTCTGACAATCTCTCTATCTGAATAGAATATATTTTTCCGACTGTGATCGAGAGTGACGGAAAATGCAGACATTAGATAATATCATTAAACAATTCGTTTCAACCATTATAAAAATACAAAGGGCTTCTTTTTTGTGCTACAAGACTTCAATACCGGTACCTTGTGAAACTCAGATTAGAAGAGTAAAAATAAGGGCGGTCAGATTACATGACATCTTTTGCAAGTTCAAAAAAAATGTTGCGGAATCATTTCTCAATGCTTTCTGTTCTAAAGTTTCTGTAGTCTCTATCAAACATTTTCAATGATATTCATTGGTATATTTTTGCACTAGACACTTTATTCTTTCTAACAAAAAAAAAAGATAAAATCTCTAAGAGATTTTATTACAGCGCTACATCAAAAACAAAATTAATGCAGAACTTTTGCTTCATCCGTTATATATTGTGATGTCCCGGTCGAGTTCCTAGTATGGTATTACTTACATACATTCTATTCTTCCCTTACCTCATTCATACGTACCATTTATTATCGTATCGTCCTTGCTCTTGTTCTTATTTCAATGCCCATACCTCTTGGGTGTTCTTTTTTCTCTCTCCTTGAACAATAGTATAAAAAGAGCGATAAAATACGTTACATGTACGACTCCCTTGAGTAAAAGGAGAAATAAAATACAGTATAATTCCACCTACACGAAGAAAATCATCACATATATATATATAGAATGAGCCAGAATAAATTTGGCTATATATTTTTAATATATCTACTCTTCGTTAAACTCGACGGAGCTAATTTTTTTACTAAAAGATTTTCTGTTTAATTCTCTACCGAAAAATACATTGATTGTTATCTTCTAGAATCCGAGCGTGGAAAATGACATGAGAAATTGTTACCGTCTACCAAAAGCTGGATGTGGATGTGGGTTCATGCCTTCTGGCTAGTAATACCTGCACTCACACCCGGGTGGCATTAAAAGAATTATACTGTTGGTATTTTAGAAATTCTTAAATTTTATCAGACTGAATTTTTTACCAAGAAATTCTCTGTTCAATTCTCTAGGGAAATGTATCGAACGCTTTATTACGGAATCGAAAGGTGCAATATGCCATGAGGAATTATGAAGAGTACCAAAATTCGGAAAAAAAAGAAACTTGGATAAGTTGAGAAATACGATTTTGTGAGGATTATTTTCTAAAGGTTTGTTAAGAAGAAGGGTGTAAGTAGCCATCGCGTACATCCTGAGCAACTCTTTTTTCCACTAAAATTTAAAAAAATTTCGATTAGAATTGAGTATGCAACAATTTTCTAACTTTTCTGCAATGCTTTTTTCTATTTATTTTGATAAATAATGTTTTTTTTATTATAGTTAAATCTCTAAGATTTAAAGAAAAATATTACTTCACTTAAACGTGCTAAGATGGATAAAATTTGTTGTTTGCTTTTGCCTGATTGCAATAAAACCAATGTTTAAGATGAATATAGAGTGTCCCAAAAGTCACACTAAACTCAGTTGCGATTTTATAGCACCAAGTGTAGTGTGACTTTTGGAACACTCTGTATATATATTGAAATCATTCAAAATCTATATGATGAAATACAACTACAAAAAACATACTAAGGCCTTATTCTGATGTTAGTGAAATCATTTCAAAGCAATATGATTCTATTTGTGAAAATATAGGGTATCTCAAAATTATAGAACCTCTCCCCTTCCCTCCCATACATTCATACAATAATATTGATTTCATTAGGAAAAGTTTATATTATTAAACTATTGATAATCTATTTATGTGAGCATGGTTGTCTACTAACTATTGCTATTATTGATTGTCTTTGTCTGTTCCTCTATAGATGAAATAAATATCATTGTATGAATGTATAGGGAGATGGGGGGGAGGGGGGGGGCGGGTCCTATACTTTTGGGATACCCTATTTATTATAGAGCATAGATCAATCATGACTGTGTATACGGTCCGACATTTACTTAATTCAGGGTCATGGTCAATTATAGCTGAAAAGATTGTATTATTGTTTTTGATAGCTGAAAAATGGAATTATTCATTTCATTTTGCATCGAACAGGTATCACGCTTACGAAGAACAACACGTGAGAATTGTTATTGAATCAACCTTGTTTGAAACATTTGAAGATATAAATGAATGAATACCTAAGAAATCGATATTCACTTCATCCCTAATTTTGCACCTAATGGTGTCTTTGATTGAGATTTGAAGTCTCAGAAAGATTTCCCAGGTCTAGCATTACGACGATCAGATACGATGCTACACGACCGTTTACGACGCCGTATTTCTATGCGCCGTATTACGGCCGTATACGATGCCCTATCGTATACTGTTATGGATCAATCAGAGTTCAGGAAGACTTTTCTTGCTTATTATAAGGACAACACCTAGTCATGTTGGGGCCGATTCTTTTGTTATCGGGATCGCTCTATCGAATGAGGGGTATATGTGTAGGGCCCCTTTTTATCCATAGCTGAGAACTAGAATCTCCCAATCTGATTGGTCAATTAAAATGGATTAATGAGATTTGAGAGTCGCCCTTGGGTTTTGTTATGAAGACAGTTATTAATGATGTTTGCGGTTGACTATTCGTTCATGTTATCAAAACAGCTATTAATCATGTTTGGGTCGATCCTAGGGCACCGAGGGCTCTCTTCGAAATTGCCTAAATATGAGTAGCTCTGGCTTTCGTATTGTTGAGAAATCGGATTCAGTGTTGAAAGTCGTGAATTAGGATAGATCGTAAATCCTTTAGAGTAGCATTAGTTTGTCGACAGCTAGAAAGAATTGGTGTTTGCACTGGCGACTTGCGATCGGTGTAATATGAAAAAGACTGTAAAAATCTGATCGTAATCGGATGTTTAATGCATGCTACTCCTATCTGTGCTATGACTCGAATGAACTGTAACCTGTGGCGCA